CAGGACATCTTCATGTATTTTTGTCTCACATAGGACACAGCCTAATAGTAAAAGTGATAATTTATGTGGGCTTTAAATATTAATTTTCAATCTGCTGCATTAAAATATGAAGATACCTCTTTTGGTTTTGTTCTGTTTAAAAGGGTGATATTTTTAAAGCACAATCTGGCTTCCTGCCTACCTTCAATTACCTTTTTAACCTTAAAATGGAGCTTGAGGATGAATCAAAGGTAGTTTGTAGAGGAAGCAAATTGTCTGAGGTGACAGATCCAGTTATACCTTGTACAGCAGAGTTTCACAATTCCCAAAATCTTATCTTCACAATATAGGGAAATTCAAATTAATTGGCAGAGTTTGAAAACCAAATCCTTGGTATTTTTATCAACTTGCAAAAGCAAATGTGCAAAAATACAAGCCATGTTGCAAAAGCCTTTTTTGAACAGTGCACAGAAATATTAATTAATACATTTAAATTTTTTTATGTCAAAGATCATATCTAATACTTTGCATGACAGCAGACCATGCTGGGGAACTGAGGATTTTTTAAAGTTGTTATGTGCAGTTGTGTAATACCTTATTGTGACCAATAAAAATTAAATTCTGCTGTTAAAAAAAAAAAGGACAGGAGAGGTAAGTGAGTAGTCCTAGTGATAAGATTAAACTGACAAAATAAGATATGTTGTAATTAAAGCAGAATGTGGAGATAAAACTGGTTGGGCATTGATTTAAGACCATGGGATGTTAGCACGTCTGTTCATATAAGGTTATGCTTCCAGAATATTCTTAGTTTTCTCCCGACTGTCATTTGCCACATTATTTTTAATATTTGTAATCTCAGTCTGTGATTGGAACCCTGCCTTCAGACCCACCCTCAGATCTTCCTTCTATATCCTGTTGAACCCACCCTTTTATCACCTTTTGTGATTGACCCTGTGAAAAATGAGGTTCACATAATTTTTATAGAATTTAAGAGTTTAATAAAAAAACAATTAGGAGAAAAAAATAAAGTAAAGTATACAGATACGGCCGGGTGTCTCTGCATTCAGCCAAGAGAGCACACCTTACTAACAAAGGATTGTCCCATAAAAACAGAACCCTACTACATATCCATAAATTCCCATACATATTCATACATTCTTCTTAGGATCTTTGGTGTTCTTCTGTTTAGTTTTCTCTTGCCCCCTTCCCAATAGATCAATCTTCTTGGCGCCATTGAGATTTACATTCTCTGATACCAGGAATGCAATAAATTCCTCCCCCCCAGAGTTCTGGTCACTGCTGTCTTCATCTGGATAAGATAGTTTACAAATGCAGGAGTTCTCTAGCTATTTTTTTCTCAGTCTTTGAGTTATACAAACAAAAACAGTTTTTATTTTAATATGCCATAACCTAACATATATGTATTATACTACTATTTCTAAATTTCATCAATAACAGAAATAAAGAAAACTATATTAATACAACAAAATTTCTCATTCTTATACACATAACATTCATTTTAATATTTGCGAAAAGCCAACAATATAAAATGTATCTATAACAACCCTATACTGTGTGTTCACCTTCTGAAGTTTATTATTTTGCCATTAAAGCAGTTTTACTTTTTGGGTCACCCTGTGAGAAATAAATTTTATCCTTTGTTGATCTTAGTCAATTAGTTCAAATATTATAAATTGTTATGACAGTTGTTAGAAATGTTAATTACTTACCTGTTACTGAAGTGTTTTAAGAAGTTCTCTTATAAGATGTACATCTACCCCCCTTTCCTTCCTTACCTGTTATTATGTAAAGAATCCCGTTCCCTACACTCCTGCCTCCCTTCCCCTGTTGGGAACCACTGCTGCTGCTCCCAGGGGCCCGTGCACCCCGAGTCATGTGCAAACTAAGGCACGCCAGACACCAAAACAATGAGCCAACAAGGAAATAAAAGACCAAAGGGACATATCCTAGCAAGCTACGAAGGAAGACCGTCTCCCTGCATCACCTGAGCCTGCATAAAAGGTGTCGCCATGACCAAAGTGGACTGGAAAAGAGTGATCCCCCTGGACAATTAGCTGGAAAAACAGTCTTTGTAGAGACTCCCATGAGGAAGGAGAGCCCAGCTCTGCCCTAGCACAAAGCTGCACAAATCCTTTTCCTCTGTGTTGTCCAGTGGGAGCAGTGGTGGTGTACGGGACCACTCAGGCCCCCATCCCAGAGCTGTTTTTCTCAATAAAAGCCTTTTAAGAGGAGCTGATATCCTGGTCCGTTCATAACAACCCAAGCGTGCCCGTCCTGTTCATTTGCCACATCGCTCCTGGCTGGCCCGGGTCCAAGGTCGTGTGAGCCGAAGCATGACAAGTGGTGCCCAAACAGGGACTCGGTATTCAAGGTCTCCTGTGTTGGATTCGGTCAGTGGGGAGTGCTGCAATGGTAGACAACTCCCTTTCCACCAGTTTTTGGATCCTTCAAGAAGTCAGCTAAACTATCCACCCTTCGGCCAGCCTGCCTGTCCGTCGGGGGATCCCGCCTTCAGCTCCGCCCTGTCTCCCTTGTCTCCCTTGCAGTGCGCCCTTTCCACCGCGGGCCACTCGCAGGCACTGGGCCCTGGCAGCAGCGCCCGTGCCGGCACCGAGAGGCCCCGGCAGGTGGGGGACAGCGATCGTCTCCCCCCTTTCAGCCGCACGGCTTTGCAGCCACCGACAGCTCCGGGGCGGGGTGGCGCTGCCACCGCCGGCGAGCGAGCGCTGCATCTGT